CCATCCATGTGGGTAATTATTGTAGCATTGTGGCATAAGTGTTTCGTTCAGTAGCATGATTGGTGGTTGGTTATTAGTGAACTTCTCACATTCAACGTAAGCCTTTGTTTTTGTATTTTCAGCGTGTCAAGGAGGGGACTACCCCCGTGGTCTGATGGCACATACAAAGCTCATATCCAGCGGTAGTTTTTCGGAGATCAGCACGTTTATGCCTGGGCTCAAGTCTCTAATGCAAATAGCCACACAATTACGTGTTTAATGATGTCTGCTGTTTAGAGAGATTAGAGCCTTTTCCACTTGAAATAATTTTAAAGAACAGTCAGCACGTGACCCTTACCCTAGTTACGGTGTGGTGTGGACGTTGTGTCCTCATACCGGAATAACCTCGAAATTACTCCTCATTTTGTACGCCCTGGTTGCGGGGCTTTTGATTGATAAGATTTGAACTTCAGCAAGAAGGACGGGAGGTTGTTCTGAGTGAGGATCCGTTGTGATCCGTCGCCTATTCGAATTCACTAATGGTGGGTATCAGAAAAAGAGAGATTCCAAAAAAATGTCGCCAAGTTTATTTTTCCCGCTGATCAAAGGAACAGGGAACTAGACAAAGATACGAATAGAAGATTACAAATTTCAAAATAAGTTATGAATGTAATTTTTTCACTTTTTCCAGAAAGGAAACATAGATAATAAGGCCGTGCAACCCTTTAGATTTTAGGTCTGTTTCTTTGTTTTTCTCGTGGAGAAAACTTTCAAATCGAAGGAAACTTGCGAAGGTGATCATGGTCACACTTTAATTTTGGAAATTTGGAAAGTACCCTTTTTCCAAACAGTCTTCGATTCAAAGCCAGTTAAAAGGGAAAGATTGCAATGTTCTGTGATGATTTTGCTACTAAAAATATGCGTTAACCAGTATAATTTTACAGTTCTTCTCAATTACAGATCGTGTTTAACTGGAATGTTGTGCCTTTTCATGTTGTTTGTTTTTACAGCTGCTCTTGCTTATGGGTTTTTGTACGTGTTTTTAAGGAGGAAGGGAGGGGAGGGGAGGGGACTGCAATGCTAAAGCGTTATTGTAACTAAAAGCTTGCCAGGAAGATTTCAGTGTACAGATAATTAATTTTCACACTAGAGAAGGGGATTCATATACGCCACATAAGGAGTCCCCCACTGCGTATTTACTTCCTTTAAGTCTCATTTTATGTACTTCGTTTCTCTCCTTCGTGCACCTTCAGCCCGGGAACTTTATGTTTTTATAGTTCTCCAAACGCCAAGGACAAAACACGATGACCTATAGGCTGACCTGAAAGTGTTGCTTATTGCATTTTCGCCTCACTGTATGATGATTTCGAGTAGTTTGCATTGATATAGATTCTCCTCAACTATTTCTTGTTTCATGTCATTAAACCCAGTTTATCAGCATTTAAACCTCTTCTAACTAGACACTAGAGCATCCGTTATGCCACATGGAACTGAATATCCAACTCGGTCGTTTATGGAAGCATAATGAATGAGCTTATTTAGTACTCTCTACTAGCTGCGTGAAAAGATGTTGGTTTATCCTTAAGGTTTCACATCGGGATTGAATCTCCTACCAATTCTTTACAATCAACATACCGAAGTATAAGATCAGCCATTTCTGCTACTGGATAGTCAAAGTCACGAGTAGAATTTTGAATGCTTAGGCAGAAGTCGAGCCAGTTTCCTTGCTGGTTGTCTGGCACGGGAAACTCGACAATCATAACTTCGGGTGCTTTACCACGAAAGAGGGAAGAGAGTGGCAAACAACAAATCCGCTCATCTGGTTAATTACTTATTCCCTCCTCCCCCCCCTCTCAAATATGCGTTACACGAAACTTATTGAAGCGAAAAGGGTTTGATACGCCAAAAATTTTCACGTGAACGAGACACTTCCTACACGGTGATATGGAAATGAACACAGAAGGTCACGCGTGAGACATAAGACTACGAAATGTTGATTGTGTGACAGAACAGACAGACGATGCTTTGGTGAATATGTACTCAAGCAAAACAAACGACGACTTCTTCAAACTGCGTTCGTTTTGATGTTCGCTATTGTACCTCATTTTGACCATGACTTTGGCTGTGAAATGAAACGATTCAGCGCCGGATCATGACGAGGTTGGTTACACCGCAGTTGGTACAGTTAGGTTTTATGTGTTCTCATTTATAATCGGTTCACTTTCATGGAACCTTTTGAAGGTAACATAAATTCAAGACTTTGTGTTCGGGATGCTTTCATTTGCTGAGCAACATGTTACTAAATCTAAAATCAGTTAAAGGGTTTGAATACCATTCGATTCCGTATAGGGGTTCGAGACAATTTTGCTGTGGTTGGGGCGAAGTTAAGGAAAAACAATTGATTCCGCGTGAAATCCACGAGCAACATGATCTAATGGTGGAGTGGCTTTATGCTCTATATGTTTATGTGAACGTAGATTAGTTGGGACAGCTGACTACAGAAAAATACTAAGCTACTAAGAGATACCAGGTGAAACCGATTTGTGCCTTGTCACTGGCGGCCGAGGCTCGTTATGCACAACCGAGGTAAACTATTAAATGTCGCGGAGAAGAAATATTCAAATTTACTGTTGTTACATAACATGATTTGGGCCAGGAAAAGGGTCCCCAATAGAGACCCGAAAAGGTCCCAGTTTTAACCACACTGAACTAGCTTGCCACGCTTCATTCGCCTGCTTTTTTTTGCCCTCGGTGTGGTGTTCGATTCGATTAATTGAGATTACGACGGTCTCTAGTTCCTCTGCCTTTCCAATTTTAAAGCAGCTGGGAAACGCATAAATGAATGTTGGTTAACAGCTGTATTTTCAGCGGGACCCATGAATGTGTATCATCACTAGCTGCAACCGTTTTCTTCTGGAAAATCTATACATTACTGCTGTGCAGGACGACTTAATCGCATCAATGTACTCTGAATGTATTCAAGCGTTGCTATCTGCGTCTGAAAAAGTCGTGTTGATTTTGCGGGCCGAGAACAAAACCGGTTGTTTCGCTTGGTTAAATATGTAGATTTGCAAAGGGAAATAAGTATTTGTGGTGCTCTTATAGTTGTTACTTTTCATTTTGTAACATGATAGCTATTTTAAATATGTAAATTTTCCGCTGTAGACTCATCACCATTTCAAACCCAAAGTTCTTTGACTTACACAACAGTGCAACACAAAGGAAATTTACAGCACTGAATAATTTTTTCGTCCATCCGCGCACAAAAACCCAATATGCGTCTGCGCAGTTAATATATATCTAAGAAGAGGTAGTGTATGAATTTTCGTTGCGGGGGGTAAACCATGCGTGGGTACAAAACATATTACAGCATCGGTTTTTCGTTAGTTTTCTTGGGATGCTATCATGTTTTAACATATCTTTTTGTGTTTTCGCGATATACATCTTAGCTCCTCAATATCCGTGGCTGTTGTCTTCATCTTGTTGGTTCGCGGGCTCATCCGGGTATTAAACATTTATAATGTGATCTCTTCTTTCAGTTACACGTACTGCAATTTAGATAAATTTTTCATCATGAAACAAGGTTCCATAGTGCTTTTCCCGATTACTCGATACAAGCTGGAATAGTCCTACTCGCTACTGCAATTGAAATATAATTTTTTGCTATATAATTCAGTTTCAGAGTGATAATTTCAACAACTCGCTCAATGAAACGTTTGTACAGCTTCTAATGTGTTATCGCTTACGTATTCCTTAACTGGTTGCTCTTTTATGTTGCAGGTTCAGCAAACAAAATAAGCAGGTTGCGCAAGCGGATTATATCAACTCTTCGGTAGGTTCATTGTGCTTGTTAGAGCCGTAAGCTCCATAACTGATATTCTTCTGATTTTAAAGGAATGATTTACCTAGGCATTATGTACTGTCAAACGGCTTGTGATTACGACTGAAAACATCGTTTCTTAAGACCTTACGAGGTGATGACTGGAACAGCGAGCCGGAAGACGCAAATCAATAAAGGAATTTGTTTTCATTTCCATCTGTTCGGTTGTTTAGATCCAATAAGCTTTTGCATTGATCTCCAAACCATCTTAAGATCAAAGAAAAAAAGTCAATTCTGAATACAGCGGTCA